AACTCCCATGGGCCCCAACCTAGAACCAGAATTTACCAGTATATCAGGAATATGGCCAATGAAGCAATATTTTAACCAAATTCTCAGTAATCTTAGACATAATGAAGTCTGAAAACCTGTACCACTGTTGGAAACCGAGTATTGCCTTTCTTCATTGGAATCCCTGAAATAGTTCTATTCCCAGGAATTGGGAAGAGCAAAATGACCCTTAGCTCCTTGTTCTTCTCTACATAGAGCCTCTCTCCATAAATGTTTAGCCCTACATAATCAATAAAAAGGCAGAGCAAGCTAAAGTCATACTGCTCTTAATCTAAGGAGGAACCTGCTCTGCAGACTTTTCTACTTTCACACTGTGGGCTTATCTTACCTTTGCTTGAGTGAGAGCTGCCTTCTTCACCTGAAGCTGAGACTGTAGAAGTTTGAAGTTTTTGGACCAGCCTTCTGTTTTCGAGTCACTGGTCTCCACTCCCAGATCATCATACAGTGACATTTTTTCAGTTTAATGCTGAAAGGCAAGGGAGGGGGGCAAAAAATGCAAAATACAGTAAAGATTTAAGATCTTTTTGTGTTGCCCTGGCCGGTGTGCTCACTGAAGAGTCATGGGTTCAATTCCCAGTCAAGGGCATGCACCTGGGATGCAGATTCAATCCCGGCCCCAGTTGAGGCACCATTTTCAAGGAATTGTAGAGGAAAATTTAAAGAAATCTCCTAGCCCAGAAACCTTCAAGGACAAAAGCCAAGACACCTGATATCACTAATAAGCGTACTTTCTAATATGCATATATTATTTTAAAAGTAAACTTCTATAATTAATAAGATCATGTGGTCAAGGAATTCATGTGAAATCAGTCTGTTCTACAGCATATAATGAGTTAAAGATGAAAGGTTCTAGATTCAGGACATTATTACTTAAATATATATAATTTTAAAAATTCTATTTGGTCTCAATAGCAAAAAGTAGAAACCTCCCAAAAACACTAGGTTCACTCAGCACAATTAGCTACCCTTTCCTAGAGAAAAAATTTAAATATATGCCTAGAAATTTAAAAAACAACACAGAAATGATCTCACGGAAGTAGGTTAACCAAATAATGTATTTTATTATTGCTTGTTAAGGGAAGTGTAGAGAGTTAGATCTTAAATATCCTGACTTCCTCATGACATTGGTTACAAAGAGAGAATCAATCTACATGTGAATGATCAATACACAATAACCCCGCGGAGTAGAGGAATACAAGATTACAACAAAAATGAAGACAACAATGGTTGCCCTAGCTGGTCTGGCTCGTGGATAGAGCATCAGCCTGCAGACTGGTTCGATTCTGGTCAAGGGCACATGCCCGGGTCACCAGCTCTATCCCCAGTAGGAGGCATGCAGGAGGCAGCCGATCAATGATTCTCTCATCATTGATGTTTCTATCTTTCTCTCCCTTTCCCTTCCTCTCTGAAATCAATAAAAATATATTTTTTAAAATGAAGACAACAATGGTTAACATTTATTAAACCTTATCTGGCCAGGGTGGTTGTAAATGCAGTATTTGCTGAGGAAGCCTAGCACTAGGTTAGAGATGGGGAACTGGGTGAGACTTCAGGAGATAAATCTGCCCCACGTCATTTCAAACCCAGTCAGGTGAACACCACAGCCCTTGCAAGTACTAGTAAACCTCTACTGCCAACTTTAAAAATACCCTTAACATTCTGAAACCCAAAATATGACCCACTTCTCAAAATAAGACATAATCTTTGTCAAACGGAAAAGAATTTTTTAAAAATCTCTAAATTGCAAATAAATGCTTAGCACAGGTAGCTTCCAATTTATGAACACATCCAAAAGTCTGTCAGTTTCCAGGTCCAGACAGCATTTTGCCATAAAAATTGTGTTATACAAAACTTGTCCTGTCTGTGTCTCAGGAAGAGAAGGAGACATGGACAAGAAGGAAATTCCCCCCAGGGTTATGTCTGACTCAGGGCAAAAGTTTCTCTCAGGCATATGCTTACTTCTCTACCTTTCTATGACAGGTATTCTAAGGCCCTGCTGCCCCAACACTTTAGCTGACCTTGGTTTCACTTTGTGTGGAGTGGGAGGTGACAGGGGTGGATACCAACTTTATTCCCTCAGAATAGCTGTTCTGGTTTTGAGCACTGTAGCTCCCTGCCTGGAAGTCAGTGCCCCACTACATTGTTGCTTCTTAATATCCAAACCCTCAGATTACCTAGAAGCTCTGTTTTAATTTCTTAATGAAAAGGCCCCAAGGTAGCACAGAAGCAGGATGAATAAAAGCAGGGTCCAGGGTACTGGTGGCTGCTCCAATCAATGACCTACATTAAGGCTTCTGTGACAACTCACCAGCTTAGCTGATAGAAGCACGTACAATTTCCTAGAGAGCACATCCGACAGGGAAATGACCAGTGCCTTCAGTGCCAGACACAGTGAACATTTTATTCAGGAACCTGGCAATGCCTTGTTACATTACACTTGAGTTACTGAAACTAAATGAAGAAAAAGTAATGAACTCCATTTATTAATTTAGTATGATTGAAATACAACCTTGCCTTCAAAGCTTTAGAGGGAATCCTCCTGGAGTCTACTTCCCCCTAGCCTACTTGGTATTCAGAACTAACCATTCTTATCTAAATTAAAATTTAGACAAGATATCCTTAAACTTTAAATTTAATGTGGAAAAACTCAGAGCAACAGCAAGAAAAAAAATGCTGAGTGATGAATGTCCGGCTTAATATTGTGATTCTCAAAAAAATGTACTTCAGCCCTAGATGGTTTGGCTCAGTGGATAGAGTGCTGGCCTGGGGACTGAAGGGTCCCAGGTTTGATTCCGATCGAGGGCACATGCCTGGGTTGCAGGCTTGATCCCCAGTAGGGGGCGTGCAGGAGGCAACCAATCAATGATTCTCTCTCATCACTGATGTTTCTCTCTCTCCCTCTCCCTTCCTTTGATAAAACACACACACACACACACACAATGTACTTCAGAAATGACCATGTATCTTTCATCTATCCTACTTTAATTTTTTGAGCCCTCTTCATGCAGTTGGTCACCAAATCAAAGCCTAGTAAAAACCATGGGTTCATTTGTTCTGTCTTTATTCGTATAAAGACAAGGGAAGACTATCACATTCTGGGAAACAAACTTAAAAGAAGCTTTCTGGAAAATTACAAACATAAAGACAAATTTTTATGATCAAAGTTGGTTTGCAACCCAAACTCTATTTTTTCTAATATCTATACTAATAAAAGGGTAATATGCTAATTAGACCAGATGTCTTCCAGACGTCCTTCTAGACAAAGCCATGGTGGTGGGGACGAGGCAGAGGCAGTTAGGGGCGATCAGACCAGCAGGGGAGAGTAGTTAGGGGGATCAGGCTGGCAGGGGAGAGCAGTTAGGGGGATCAGGTCGGCAGGGCCTCAATCCTATATAGTATAAGGGTAATATGCCTCCCAGCACTGGGATCAGCGGAGCCGAGAGGCCTCCCGGCACCGGGATCAGCGTGACAGGGGGCAGCGCCCAAACCCCCTGATCGCCCTGCGGCTCTGTGTGTGACAGAGTGCGGCGCCCCAACCCCCTGATCGGCCCTGCTCTGTGTGTGACAGGGTGCGGCGCCCCAACTACCCACCACCACCACGGGCCTTGCTCTGTGTGTGACAGGGTAGAGCCGTAACCTCCCCATCAGCCCTGCCCTGAGTGTGACAGTGGCGGCACCCCAACCCCCTGATCGGCCCTGCTCTGTGGGTGATGGAGGGCGGCGCCCCAACCCCCTGATGGGCCCTGCTCTGTGCATGACAGGGGGCAGCGCCCCAAACCCCTGATTGGCCTTGCTCTGTGCGTGACAGGGGGTGGCGCTGCAACCTCCCCATGGACCCTGCCTTGAGTGTGACAGGGGGCAGTGCCCCAACTCCCCAGACACCCTCCCCCGCAGTGCACAAATTTTTGTGCACCGGGCCTCTAGTATATATATATATATATATTACTACAATTATTTTTTTAAAAAGGACTAGGTAAAAGGGAGGAAGAAGCCACACTGAAGAGGGGGTGTGAAATAACAGACTATTGTTTAATTAACTCTCCTGCATCTCCCAACCTGGAAGAATAATCTCTCATAGAATTATTTCCCCAAATTTTAGAATTAAAAAAAGAAAATCACGCTGTGTAGAGCAGCAGTCGCTGACCGGTGGTCTGTGGACTACTGGTGGTCTGTGAGGTCCGAAAGGTTGGCAACCACTGGTGTAGAGGATCTCTGCCACCAAACAAGTTCTTTCATCTGAAAATCCAATATTTAACAAGGATTTCAGGGCTGAATTAATAAAGTTTCATGAGATCATACTTCCTCTGTCTCTATTTCTAAATTGAAGATGGTTAGTTGACAATTCTATTTGATTCACCTTTATGCGCAAGCTTCAGAAATCATTATGCAGCAAAATCTTATATTAAAGTTCCTTGCTTCTATTCTCAAAACCTTCAAAAACACACTTTAAATATTAGAAACTGATGTCATCTTAGCATCATCTCCTAGTTTCTGCAATAAAGTGTTTATAAATCAGATATCAGCACCACAGTAAATGCAGAAGGGCTTTCTTGTTTATACTAGATTTCAAATCTACAGGACTGCCCTAGACCCACAGTTTGGCTCAGTGGATAGAGTGCTGGCCTGCAGACTGAAGGATCCCGAGTTCAATTCCAGTCAAGGGCACATGCCCGGGTTGTGGGCTCAATCCCCAGTAGGAGGTGTGCAGGAGGCAGCTACTCAGTGATTCTCTTCATCATTGAGGTTTCTATCTCTCTCTCTCCCTCTACTTCTCTGAAATCAATAAAAGTATGTTTTAATTTAAAAACAGGTTGGTACTTGCACAAAAACAGACACATTGATCAATAGAAAAGAATAAAGAGCCCAGGAAAAAAAACTCATGGTTATTCATTCATTGACCTATGACAAAGGAGTTAAGAATAGGTGCAGAGGGGGGGGGGAGGAGAAAAGAAAAGAAAAAAGAAAAAAAAGGAAAAAGGAAAAAGAAAAAGGAAAAAAAAAGAAAAGAAAAAGAAAAAAAGAGAAAGAAAAACACAAAACCAACAAATCTACCAGACTGCATTATTCACAGCAACAACACATTCATCATCCATCCACACATGTATGGCCTGCTTTAATTAATTACTATATTGCTACAAGCACCAGTGACTTTACCATCCAAAACAAGATACAGGATTTGGACAAGAACCTACACTCAACCCCTATGAACCTCACCCCCTAATCCCATTCCAGTGATTTCCCTGGCCCCGGGGTGAGCAGCAATCTGAATCCCATTCTCATTAATTACTTGCTTTCCTTCATGTAATTTTTTTTACATAGCTTTATTGCATCTATTCATTAAGAGGTGTGTATACTTTTTTTAACTTTAGGTATTTTAAGCACTTATACAAAACTAGAGGCCCGGTGCACAACATTCATGCACTAGGGGGTGGGGGTCCCTCACAGTCTGGGAGCCCACGGAGGATGTCTGACGGCTTAAGCTGTGAGCCCAGGTTCTGGCTGAGTGGAGCTCCTCCTGAGAGAGCACACTGACTACCAGGGGAAAGCTCCTGCATTGAGCGTCTGCCTCCAAGTGGTCAGTGAGCATCATAGCAACTGGTTGTTCCGCCATCGGGCTGAAACCAGCTCTCCAACATCCCCTGAGGGGTCCTGGATTGCGAGAGGGCATAGGTCAGGCCAAGGGACACCACCAGTGCATGCCTGGGGCTGGGGAGGGACGTAGAAGGTTTGCCAGCCAGGGAGAGACCACGGGAGGGCTCCAGGGCATGCCTGGCCTGTCTCACTCAGTCCCAATCAGCCAGACCCCAGCAGCAAGCTAACCTACCAGTCAGATCATCTGCCCCCTGGTGGTCAGTGCACGTCATAGCAACTGATCGACAGTCGACTGTGCCCTGGTGGTCAGTGCACATCATAGCAAGCAGTTGCACAACTTTAGCATATCATTAGCATATTATGCTTTGAGTGGTTGAATGGCTGACCGGATGACCAAATGCTTAGCATATTAGGCTTTTATTATATAGGATATCATAGTTGATTTGTGATAGGATATCATTTCTACCACTGAATGTAACAAATGCATTGACAGACAGCCAGGACCCGAACTTAATTCAAGCTGAGATGTTAACTCAGATGATATAACACATTTATTTCATGAAGTCTTGTGCCAGGAAATAAAACAGCAGCACTTTCTAACATTTGTATATACCTTAAGGAGCCAGGATCAAATGCAAATATCGAGAACTGATTTTTACAACTTAATATACCTGTTATTTACTTCTTTTTAAATTGTAACATCACCTTTTGGTCAACATATCTTTCACATATGCTTCATTTAAGAACAAACACAGTTAACATGGCTCTGCTAGAACAGTGACTTTTCAAGATTCTACCTAAACTGGCAAACTATGTTTGTTAAAAATGCCCTACTGGCAGAAAAAGAACATGAAAGAAGTTTTCTCTGAAGTATCCCACCTATTTACCTTTCAAGAGCATCTGGAAGCCTTTGGTGACTACTACTGATATATAAAACTATCTCCAAATATTTTTTATTAAAAAAAAGATGTTTTATTGAGTTTTAGAGAGGGAGGAAGGAAGAGGGAGAGATAGAAACATCAATGATGAGAGAGAATCACTGATCGGCTGCCTTCTGTTTGCCCTGTACTGGGGATCAAGCCCACTACCCAGGCATGTGTCCTGACCGGGAATCGAACCAGTGACCTCCTGGTTCATGGATTGATACTCAACCATTGAGTAACACTGGCTGGGCACTATCTCTAAGTTGTTTCCCCTGAATATAGTTGGATCAGGGCAACTTTTACATGTTATGCCTCAAGTAAGGGCTGTTTTCACTTCATCCTTGTATCTCTATCTTAGTACCATGTTTGGAAAATTGTGCTTTATAAATATTTTCTAATTATATTCGTGAATGGATGAAAAAGTGTTAATGTACCTACTTAAATCACATTATTATGAAACAACTAGAGGCCCGGTGCAGGAAATTTGTGCACTGGAGAGGGCAGATCCCTCAGCCCAGCCTGTGCCCTCTTGCAGTCCAGGACGCCTCAGGGGATATCCACCTGCCAACTTAGGCCCGCTCCTCGGAGTCCAGGACCCCTTGCTCCTTACCGCCCGCCTGCTTGCTGCTCCTTACCACTCGGTTCGCTGCTCCTTAGTGCTGGTGTGAAGGCAGGAGAAGCTCCCACCACCACCGCTGTGCTCGCCAGCCGTGAGCCCAGCTTCTGACTGTGGCACTCCCCTCGTGGGAGCGCACTGACCACCAGGGGCCAGCTCCTGCGTTGAGTGTCTGCCCCCTGGTGGTCAGTGCCC